TGTGCCGAAGTTCCGACTTGGTCCCATGACTCCTTAAGGAATGAGGGCACCTTGGCCAACTGGTGCGGTTACTGGCTATGAGGGCATCTTTGTTGAAGACACTTCCACTGCTGCTCTGGAGATCGGTATTTTTGTCCTCTCTCTTCCTAATCTCACTTGTTTACTGTGGCGACGGGTGGTTTATTTGCTACTATGCAGTTGTGGCGCACTCAGTTGAGTGTATAAATAAATAAATAAATATAATGTAGGCAAAATACATGAAATATAAACCTAAAGTAATGGCATCAAAGACAAATTCAAAATTGATCATAAGGAAATCAATGAGCGACAAAGCAAATCGAGAAGTGGAAAATTCCTTGAAATAATGAAGAGGGTGTTTGAAAAAGTGGGAACATTCCCACAGACTGGATGGCCAGCTGTTCCTATTCGCTGAAATATGAGGACAACGATGCTAACACCAAAAGGAAGGGGTCGAAAAAACTCAACAGGAGAGACTTTACAATGGGTTGGACTTCCTCCAAAGTGGGCGGCGTTGGTGAGCGAAACCCAACTAAAAGCTTACATAAATTGTGCACTAGTTCCAAAAATTGAACAGGGATTTAGTGGGAAACCTTCATTCCACCACTTTCACCGAACGGTGGGTGCCCTCTTAATGAAGTCAATGACAGACTCAGTCTCAAATGTCTGCTGAATGCATGGTTAGAGGGATTCGGGAGATCATGGACTATTTTGAATTCGGGAGAATCCCAGAATAGCACTACTTCCATCGTAACCATTCGATTTGATTCGGGCATTTTCTCAGCAAAATTACGTTTTTTGAAGGGTAATAGTACAACAAGGAAAAAATGGGCTGCCTCCTTTTGAAAAAAGCTTTTAATTCCTCAAACAGCCCTCAAATTACTGGCTCGAAGTCGGTGAGGGAAGACGGTAAGAATACGTTAAGGATGTGGGAGTGATTATTAAGTCACAACGAGTACGAGTGAACATTGCGATCTCGTTTTCTAGTTATAATTGACTCGCAGTGTCTCATTGAGGTCAAGTGGGACCATATTTCTGCGTCGATAGCGCCAAAATAGCGGACGAAAAAGTGACACAGTAACCTCTTCTTGGAAATGGGGAGAGTCAATGAAATTAGCACCGGGAGCCTTGGGGAGGTTTAAGGCACAGAAGATTCGCTGGGTTGCTCGAAATGCAGTTGTAGGCTCTGTTTCTCATCTGACCATGGTAGATAGCTCCCCAACAGAACCTAGGGAGTCACCTAGGAGGTGCCGGGGACATCAGACTTCATGGTTCTGCTCGAAGGGCTCAACAAGGGAGTCATAATCACGGTCTTTAATCCTGGAAGTTCGTCGTTTGCATGTAGACCCGCCCAAAGGGTGACAGGTATGTAGTTCCTGGTGGATAACCGTCTCTTACGGATGAGGCTGAGATTGAGATAGGGAATACGTTGCTAGAAATATCCGTTCAGTAATGAATAGAGAGCCCTATCATTTATCTGGAAGCCTTTGTCGATGACGAAAGGTAGAAAGTACCGAAGTGACATTTTACGAAGCGTCCGCCACCATTACTTCCCGTCCGAAGGCAGCAGTTCGTGGAATCTGTTGAAAACCTTCGAAACGTTCTACTCTAACCTTTCTCTGGGGCCAGCTCAAGCTCCTGCCGAAGTGTTGGCAGGAAGTCTGCCTGTCTGCCTCCGGTAACTAGCCTTTTCCGAAGCGAACAACTGAGCTGATCTGAGCAGGATTAGAAACCAACTAGGCCCTTTCTCTTCTCAGCTGATGAAGGCTGCATTCCATGGAATCCGTTGGAAACCTTCGGGACTGGAAACGATAGGTAAGAGACTTCGCCTTCGCACTACCAGGTTCGTCCTCATTCTGAACTCCGGTAGAACTTCCTAGTCAAAACTTGGTGGATTGAAATGTGATTCTCATTAAAAGTGAATGTTATGACATTACTCACTATGTGATTATAACGATGGCATCGGGTTACAGCAGACGTGACCGAGGGTGGCCATGGCGGTAG